GGAATGATAAATTTGTTCAAAAACACCATTTTTATGTCTGTCCCGGATACCTAAAAGATAAAAGTAACAGCAAGCAATGTGGAGGGGGGCGAGAAATTACTTTTGTGCCTCCTGGTCTTGTGTGTCCACTGGTAACATCTGGTGGACACCCCCTGTGACAACCGACCTAATTAACGTGTCTCGACCCCCAGGGTCCCAAAATATTCCATGTAACCAAGGCCACCCACTAGACAAGACTGTAAAAATTAATTGTAACCCTGTAACCATCAAATTTACCGAGAAAGGTAAAACTGATGCTTGTTGGGTATCAGGTCTCAGCTGGGAGTTCGCCTGTACGACCCGGTCAGGCTCAGGGCCTGAGACCAGGGAGCCCTATTTACCATTCGGCTCACACAGCAACCAGCTCCTACTCGAGCAATAGGCCCAAATAAGGTACTTAAACCTCCCTATGTAAGGCCGCCTCCCCAACCTCGTACAACCCTGGTCCCTTCCCGGCCTCACAAAAGTGCTAGTATTGCAACTCCAGGACCACCAGGAACTGGCTCTTCCCTGGGAAGGCCCAGCCCCACGACCGGGTCCACAGACCCCCTTTGGAATCTGGTAAATGTGCATTCCTAACATTAAACCACACCAGCCCTAATATGACTACCTCCTGCTGGCTGTGCTATGATGTGAGGCCCCCATTCTATGAGGCAATAGGACTAAATGCCACCTACAATGTCTCGACCAGTGAAAACCGCATTCAATGTTCCTGGGGAAACCGTAAGAGAGGTCTGACCATACAAGAAGTAAGCAGCCAAGGAACCTGCTTAGGGAATGTGCCAGAGGGAAAACAGGACCTATGTACTGTTGTAGATAACGACCCCACCTAGGGCGATGGTATTAAATGGGTAATTCCAAAAGACAATGGATGGTGGATATGCTCACAGTCTGGGATTACCCCTTGCCTATCGACTAATGTCTTTAACGGCTCCAGGGAATTCTGTGTCCTAGTGACTGTGCTGTCCCGCATCATCTATCATTCTGAAGAGAGCCTATATTCACACTGGAATACGGGAACAGGTGAGAGAAAAAAGAGAGAGCCTATTTCTGCATTAACCATTGCTACCCTACTTAGCCTAGGAGTGGCCGGAGCAGGAACTGGCATAGCATCCCTGCCAGTTCCTGCTGGCTACTCAACATAGTGGGATGTCCTCGCTGCGCACGGCCATAGACAAGGACATAGAAAGGATAGAAGCCTCCATTAGTCACCTAGAAAAGTCCCTTACCTCCCTATCTGAGGTAGTACTCCAGAACAGATGGGGGCTAGACTTATTGTTCCTTCAGCAGGGGAGACTATGTGCTGCCTTAGGGGAGGAATGTTGTTTCTATGCTGATCATTCGGGAGTAATTAGGGAGTCTATGTCTAAAGTGAGGGAAGGACTGGCCAAAAGGAAGTGGGAAAGAGAAGCCCAAGAAGGTTGGTTTGAAGCTTGGTTCAATAGGTCCCCCCTGGTTTAATACCCTTGTCTCCACCCTGGTGGGTCCCTTGGTTATACTGCTGCTTATCCTAACTTTCGGCCCATGCATTCTGAATAAGCTAGTGACCTTTGTAAAAGATCGAGTTAGTACAGTCCAACTCATGGTCCTGAGACAGCAATATGAAGGGCTACCTAGCCCTAAAAATGTTTATGCATATCATCCAAATGAGCATGATTCCTCATTATAAACATCTAAAGGAGGGAATGTTGGGGTACTTTAACTTGCAGCCCACCTAGGCTAGAAATCAGCTATAACTGGCATGACCCTTGGGTAACCTCGTGAAGAGGAAGATAGCCTTGAAACAGGGTTGTAAAACATGGTAAACTGTCAATTAAAAGCTGTAACCTCGGACAGAGCTGTGAGGAATTGCTCATTAGAGCCATGCAAAAGTTCAGGACCGAGATGAAAGGCACCATGCAGAGATAAGCACCCATTCCTGCCTTTCTTTGTCTCCACTTGTAAATAAACTTTCCAAAGCAGGACTCCCCTGCTGTTCTTATCTAAACCTTAGGTTTCTATTCCACTATTAGCCCCCTAATTTATGGGAGAACACATTCCTTATAACCTGATAAGTAAGCCTCTGGTGTTTCTCCAGTTCCCAATAAATAATATTACCCCACCACCAAGACGTGGGCAAGATCAGGATGTGGGCAAGATCAGGAAAATGTGACCCCAGGGGCATGAGGAATTCCTATGTGACGATGATTGATGCTTTAAAGAGTATAAGACTGCTTAAACTTTTCTCTCGGGGTCCTTGTTGAAACCTGCTGTGTCAGGCGGATGCTCGGACCCTAGCCAGCTAGAAATAAACCTCACCTTGTGACCTCCTTTGTCTCGAGTGTCCTTTGTCCTCTCAGGAGGTGGCCGGCCTCGTACCCTAACACATCAAGCTCATCACCTCCTGCTTTAAGATGAAAACGCCCACAAAAGATTAAATCTAATTTATGCATAATGAAGATTCGTGCAACCAGATGAAAGAACCAACTTCATCTTACTAGGCCTCTGGAATTTGGCAAGTTCAGGAGTAGTAGTGTAAAGGGTTAGGTCATCGTGGTTAAAGGACTTGACATTCTTGGATCACCTTGCAAACATAGGTGGTAAGGAGGAGTAGTGAAGAGGGAATGGGCACTGTAGACCTCTTTTTCACTCTGAGTCAGCAGCCACAGATTGCTAATGCCCCAATTAAGGGAGAAAGGGTCAGCGTAGACTTCTAAACTCATTCCAGCCCAGTTTCTTCCCAAACTTTGTCTCTGCTCCTTTCCTTGACAAGAAAACAGAAGAGTAGAAAAGTAGGAAAATAAGATATACCTCTATACTCTCTTCCCTAGCCTCCTCTTTTTGAGAAGGCTCAAATAGGTCCTATTCATAGGGACCTCTAAAGTTTGAAAAACTGATGATTCTAAAATCTAAACATTCTATGATATAAGTCACCAAAATAAGACAACCCTTCCTCTTGGTTACCTGTGTGACCTCAGGTGAGAATTATTCACTTAAGGATATTTCAGTTTGTCCTACAGAAAATTAGAAAACTCTTTTTTAGAACAGATGTTCCTAACAATATACAAAAGGAAATTTTACTTATTTGCCCTTTTCTGTTAGTTTTTGAAAACACAAGTTGCCAAAACAAATAGTACGCGGGGATATACTAACAAATTAATGTATGGGATTTAATGTGTGGGGTTAGAGTTGTGTTATATCTCTCTGAAGTCTCCAAATACTGACTCTTGACTTGAAAAGTGTACATTTGGGCCAGATGTTGGGATTCATGCAAGTGTCTCAAATATTCTTTGTGTTTTATTTGTAGTGTAATGGTTCCATGGTAACAAGAGGCTGTTAATAATTTATTTTGAAGTTGATTGCTAGAAGTTAAGTTCTCTTGTAGTGATGGTATTTGGAGGGTGGGACTTCTGGGAAGTAAGTAAATATGAGGTGGATCCCTCATAAATGGGATTAGTAAACTGATAAGAAAAGACATGGTAGAGATGATTTCTCTACCATGTGAGGATATAGCAAGAAAGCATCTATGTGCAAACCACAAAGAAGAATCAATTGTTACCTTGAAACCTTACTAGAAACTGAATGGCTAGCACCTTTACATTGGATTTTCTAGCCTCCCAAATTGTGAGAAACCTACATTCAGTTTATAGGAGCCCAATCAAAGAGAACAATTGATACCAAGAAGTGAGGTGTTGTTATAACCATAATATAAAAATGTGGAAACAGCTTTAAAATTAAGTATTGGTGGGAGAAAATATTTGCAAGCTACACATCAGACAAAGGACTGATAACCAGAATATATAGGGAACTTAAAAAACTAAATTCTCCCAAAACTAATGAACCAATAAAGAAATGGGCAAGTGAACTAAACAGAACTTTCTCAAAAGAAGAAATTCAAGTGGCCAAAAAACCCATGAAAAAATGCTCACCATCTCTAGCAATAAAGGAAATGCAAATTAAAACCACACTAAGATTCCACCTCACCCCTGTTAGAATAGCCATCATTAGCAACACCACAAACAACAGGTGTTGGCAAGGATGCGGGGAAAAAGGAACCCTCTTACACTGCTGGTGGGAATGTAAACTAGTACAACCACTCTGGAAAAAAATTTGGAGGCTACTTAAAAAGCTTAACATTGATCTACCATTTGATCCAGCAATACCACTCTTGGGGATATACCCAAAAGACTGTGACACAGGTTACTCCAGAGGCACCTGAACACCCATGTTTATTGTGACACTATTCACAATAGCCAAGTTATGGAAATAGCCAAGATGCCCCACCACTGACGAATGGATTAAGAAAATGTGGTATCTATACACAATGGAATTTTATGCAGCCATGAAGAAGAATGAAATGTTATCATTCGCTGGTAAATGGATGGAATTGGAGAACATCATTCTGAGTGAGGTTAGCCTGGCCCAAAAGACCAAAAATCATATGTTCTCCCTCATATGTGGACATTAGATCAAGGGCAAACACAACAAGGGGATTGGACTTTGAGCACATGATAAAAGCGAGAGCACACAAGGGAGGGGTGAGGATAGGTAAGACACCTAAAAAATTAGCTAGCATTTGTTGCCCTTAACGCAGAGAAACTAAAGCAGATACCTTAAAAGCAACTGAGGCCAATAGGAAAAGGGGACCAGGAACTAGAGAAAAGGTTAGATCAAAAAGAATTAACCTAGAAGGTAACACACGCACAGGAAATCAATGTGAGTCAATGCCCTGTATAGCTATCCTTATCTCAACCAGCAAAAACCCTTGTTCCTTCCTATTATTGCTTATACTCTCTCTTCAACAAAATTAGAGATAAGGGCAAAATAGTTTCTGCTGGGTATTGAGGTGGGGGAGAGGAAGGGGGTGGAGTGGGTGGTAAGGGAGGGGGTGGGGGCAGGGGGGAGAAATGACCCAAGCCTTGTATGCACATATGAATAATAAAACAATTTTAAAAAAAGAACTAAATATTGGGTAGAGGCTGGAAGAGTTTTGAGAGCCATGGTAGGAGAAGCCAATATTGACATTAGCAGTTGCTAAAGATAATTTTGGTGAGGGCTGAGCAAGGAAAGAAGAGAGCTGTAGAGGAAACCCCTATCTTCCTAGGAAATATATAAATAATCTTGAATATTCTTTGGTAGAATTAAGGATGACCAAGGTCATTCTGATGACTTTTCAGATGGAAATGAAGAACATGCTCTTGGAAACTAGAAAAAAGGGCAACTTTGCTATAGATTGGTAAAGAACTTGGCTGAATTTTGTTCATATTCTAGTGTTTTATGGAAGATGAAACTTGTGGAAAATAAAACTGGATATTTAGCTGAGATCTCTTACAAAGTGCAGAAGGAATGACTTGATTCCTCCTGACCGCTTATCATAAAACATGAGAAAAAAGAGGAATACTGCTAACTTGAACTAAAGGGAATGGAGATAGGACAGAATGAACGAGGACTGTTGTACTTCTTGGGTTTTACAGTATGGAACCCTAGAGTTATTTGACTATAACTTGTGTTTTCAAAAACTAACAGAAAAGGATATATAAGGAAATTTTCCTTTTGTATATTGTTAGGAACATCTGTTCTAAAAAAGAGTTTTCTAATTTTCTGTAGAACTGAAATATCCTTAAGTGAATAATTCTCACCTGAGGTCATACAGGTAACCTAGAACTTGAACTATTGTTCAAAACAAGGGAAGAATAATCCTGACAGTGACTCAAAAATCAGCCCTCCACCCCTCCCACACACACACAGGCACAAAAGGGTAAACATCACTTTAGTTTCAATAGGCCAGATAGTTTGCCTAGAGCCATAGGAATGGGGCCATCTAAAGTTACTGGAGCTTGACCTCTCCCAACAGAGACCTGGGGGTAAGATCTCTGCTTCAGTAGATCCCCTTAGGCAGAACATCAAGCTCTTAGAGAGTGCCTTGCTAAGTTTTGACCCTACTAGGGACCTGTCATTCTATCCTTCCTTTTTGTTTCTCCCTTTTGAAATGGGAATGTCTAGCCTAAGGCTTGTCCTACCATTGTATTTTGGAAGTACATAACTTGTTTGGTTTCACAGATTGACAGCTGGAAAGGAACTTTGTCTTAGGATATATTGTTCATTGAGTTTCAGCTGCCTCAGATTTAGATGATTAATAAATGAAACTTTCGACTTCATAGTTGATGCAGGAATGAGTTAAGTCTTTGGGGGCAATTGGGGTAAGAATAAATATATTTTACATGTGAAGACATGAATTTTGTGGAGTCATGTACATAATACTGTGGACTGAATCTGTGTTCCCCCCAAATTCATGTGTTAAAACCTAACCTCCCATTATATTTGGAATGGGACTAGTACAATTATAAAAGACACAAGAGGATTAATCTTGCTTTCATGTTAAGATACATAAGGCAAGCATCCATGTGCAAACTAAAAGGAGATCCCTCACTATAACTGAATTGGCTAGCATCTTGATCTAGCCTCCAGAACTTCAAGAAATAAATTTCTGATGTTTAAGCTACTGAGTTTATGGGGATTTGTGATATAGCAGCCTGTACTAAGACACGGGACTTGGAAAGATGTTTAATTTTCTAAGCCTACCTAAAATTTAAGGTTATTATTAGCTCTGGAGGCAATGACATTTGTCTATAGAGTGTGTTACTCTGACAACTGCAGAGCATATTTTACAATGTTCTCCTATAAATCTGCTATCTTGGAACTCAGATAGCAGTACATGTAATTTAGGTTATCAAGTTTGGTTTCTCAATTTAATTGAATCTACTTCAGTTAATCTATTTCTCATTAACCTTATAGGAAAATAATCAGGACTTCACATAATATAAATGTAACATATAAGATTCACAGCTTTGGTGAAGCAGGGTATACAGAATTTATGTTTTCAAAAACGTAAGTGAAAAACATTGACTGCTGTGATATGTATAGGTTTAGGGGTGAGCAATTATCTCATGTCAAGAATTTTTGTCAAACATAGGTATTTTGCCACCACAATACTTCCTGTGTTATATTTGCTGCAGCTGAATCCACAAGCCTGTCTTTTTTCTTGTCACATTAGAATGCTGTGCTTCACATTTTCTTCTTTTTAATGGAAAAAACTCTGAGGATGTCCCTTCTTTCTGAGTAAAGATGACTGTAGGTAAAATACATACCTAAAGTGGAGAAGAAAGTGGCAAAAGTAAATGTGATTAACCATTTTTCTGAAAAGAACCAAGATTTTGTAATATGCTTAGTGCCCTGGTTGAATTCCAGGAGCAATACACTCAACAAGGGAGACTCAAAGAAGAAACAGTTAAAGAACTGGCCAGATTTCAGGCAAAAAGGGAAGTAAATCAAACTTTTCCATCCTCTGTTTTTTTGCTTTTTTGGGGGGAGAGGGGAGTACAGGCGCCTTGCACTTGCTAGGCAGGTGCTCTACCCCTTGGACAACGCCCCCAGCCCACATCCAACTCTCTGTAATACATGCAATTACTTCCTTTCTTTGGGGTAGCTCTGTTCACCACCTCTGAAGTTTCATATTTTGTTTTTTTTCTATATATGTTGTTCTTATATCTGCGATCTCTTACTTTCTCAAAATAATCACTTTGAAGATTTGTAAAGGTTAGAGCTGGGTAAGCAAATTTAATGTCTTTTTCCCAATTTTCTGGAAAAAAATTAAGCACATTTTTTTATTTATCTTTATTTTTTATTAACACACAGTACATTTAATTTCTTTTTATAGCTTTACTCTTTAACCTCAGGTTCTCAGTAAATGTATTATTCTTATTTTATGTTTTTATTAGCACATTACACATATTTCATATGTGCATACACCATACCACATGTCCTCTCTTATATGTAGAAACTAAAGAAAAATAAATAAATAAATAAATAAATACCTGAAAGTAGAATCATGAATCCTAGGGACTTGAGAAGGGTGATGGGTAAGGGTAGAATGAGGGTGGTTATGATCCCTTTTATTTCTCTCTCTTGCCAATTAGGCTCTGGCTAAAACTACTGATAATATATTGAATCAAAGTGACAAGACCCTTGTCTTGTTCCTGATCTTAGAGGAAATGCTCTCTGTTTTTCCCCAATCCAATATGATATTGGATGTGGGTTTATCATACGTAGCCTTTATTGTGTTGAGGTGTGATCTTTCTATTCCTAGTTTCTTTAGGAATTTTATCATGAAGGGATGTTGAATTTTATCAAATGCTTTTTATGTATTTATTGAGGTATATTATTTTTATCCTTAATTCTTTTTATGTGATATATTTATTGATTTATATATGTTGAATCAGTCTTGCATCCCTGGAATGAAACCAACTTGATCATAGCATATGATCTTCTTATAGTATTATTAAACTTGACTTGCTAGTATTTTGTTGGGAATTTTTGCCTCTGTTTTCATCAAGGCTATTGGTCTATAGTTTTATCCCTGTTAAGTTTTGTTACCAAAACCTGGCCTCTTAAAATGACTGGAAGCATTCCCTCCCTTTCAATTCTATGTAATAGGTTGAAAGGAGTTGGCATTAGTTTTTCTTTAAAAGCTTGGTAAAATTCAGCAGGTAGGTCATCTCATCCTATACTTTTCTTTGTTGGGAGACTTTATTACTGATTCAATATCATTACTTATTATTGGTCTATTCAGGTTTTTCTGTATCCTCTTTGTAAAATATAAGACATTTATCTACTTCTTGCATATTTCCAATTTGTTAACATACAATTTTTCAAAATAATTCCTAATGAATCTTGGAATTTCTGTAGTATCAATTTAAGGGTTTTTTTTTGTTTTGTTTTTTGGTATTAGGAATTGAACCCAGAGCCTCACATATGCCAGGCAAGCATTATTCCACTTGATCCATGCCTGTTTGTTTGTTTGTTTGTTTGTTTGTTTTGAGGTAGTCTTTCTTAGAATATCAAGGCTGGACTTGAACTCATGATCCCTCTACCTCTGCCTCCCAAGTAACTGGCCATTTCTAATTTTATTTATTTCTGTCTTCTTTGTATTTTTCTTGGTTAGTCTAGATAACAGTTTATCAAATTTCCATTTCCTTTCAAAGAACCAATTCTTTGTGTTATTTATCTTTTGTACTGTTTTTTAGTCTCTATTTCATTTATTTCTGGTCTAATCTTTATTATTTCTATTAATTTTGGTTTGGTTTCTTCTTATTTTTCTAAGTTCTTCAGATGCATCATTAAGTTATTTATTGAAATCTTTTTTTTTTTTAATGCAGGCACTCATTGCTGTAAACTTCCCTCTTGGTCCTGCTTTTTACTATATCCCTCAGGATTTGGCATGCTGTATTTCTGTTTTTATTTGTTTCAAAAAATTTTTCAGTATTCCTCTGACTTCCTCAATGATCCATCATTTGTTCAAAAGTTTGTTGTATAGTCTCCATATGTTTGTAGAATTCTGAAGTTTCTTTTGTTGACTTCTAATTTCATTCAATTGTAAATAGACAAGATAGAGGATATAATTTCAATGTTTTAAATTTGTTAAGACTTGTTTTATGGCCTAATATATAGTCTATTCTAGGGAAAGTTCAACATGCTGATGAAAAGAATGCATATTCTACAGCTGTTGGATCAAATGTTCCATAAATGTTAAGTCCATTTGATCTCTAGTATAGTTTATCTCTAGTGTTTCTGTATTGATTTTTTTTTAATCTGGATGATCTGTCCAGATGAGAGGAGACTAGGATAGTGAAACCCCCCACTATTACCGTATTGGAGCCTATCTCTCCCTTTAGGTTTAATAGTGTTGGTTTTATAAAATTGGATGCTCTGACATTAAGTACATATAGATTTACAATTGTGATCAATTGGGGGTATAGGACAGTTATCTTATTTGCCTTTTCTTACAGTTTTTGTCTTAAAGTCAGTTTTGTCCAATATTAAGTATATCTATTCCTTCTCACTAGGGTGTTCCCTTTGCTTGGAATATCATTTCCCATCCTTTCACTTTTAGTCTCTGTGTGTCTTTACTGGTGTAGTACATTTCTTGTTAGGCAGCATATTGTTGGGTCTTGTCTTTTGTTTGTTTGTTTGTTTGTTTGTTTTAATCCATTCAGCTAGTCTTCATCTTTTAATTGGAGAATTTAGTCCATTTTCATTCAGGGTTATTACTGAAAGGTACTGATTTATATCTGTCATTTTGTGATTTTTCTCCTAGTTGTTTTGAGTATCTTGTTCATTCCTTCTTTTCTTATTCATCTTTATGGTTTGGTGACTTACAATATTGGTAATGTTTGATTCTTCACTATTTTTCTTTTGTGCATCTCCTTTTCTAGTGGGACTTATACTTTCACATGTTATCATGATGGGAGTTATCTTTCTTTCACTTCTGGATTTAGGACTCCTTTAAGCATATTTTGCAAGGCTGGTCTGAAAGACATGAATTCCCACAGTTTTTGCTTATCTTGGAAGATCTTTATTTCTCCTTCATTTCTAAAGGATAGCCTTGCTGGGTATAGGAATCTTGGTTGGCAGTGTTTTTTGTTTGTTTGTTTTGTTTTTCAGGACTTGGAATACATCATGTATTTCTTCCTGGCCTTTAGCATCTCTGCTGAAAAATATGCTATTGGCCTAATGGGGTTGACCTTAAATCTGCCTTGATGTCATTCTCTTGCAGATTTTAAAATTATTTCTTTGTCTTATACATTTGACAATTTGACTATAGTATGTTATAGTGAAGATATTTTCTGTTCATGTCTTTTAGGGTTCTATAAGCCCCTGAATATGGATGTCCATCTCTTTCCCAAGATTAGGGAAGTTTTCTGTGCTTATAACATTTATCTTCTTGCCCTCTGGTAGTCCACTGATGGAAATGTTTGTTTAATGGTGCCTCAAGATTTTGCATGCTCTCTTCATTCTGTCTGAATGTGATGTTTCAAAATACCTGTCTTCAGGCTCAGATACTTTTATATCTACTTGATCTAGTCTGTGATTGAGGCCTTCATCTAAATTTTTATTTGACTTATTGAGCTCTTCATGTACAAGATTTCTGTTTGGTTCTTTTTCAAAATCTCATTTTGCAGAATTTCTCATTAGGAAGCCTGCCTTGTCTTCCTAGTTTCATTTATGTGTATTCTCGTAGCTCTTAAGATTTTTCATAATCACTATTTTGAGTTCTTTATCACACATTTCATCCATTTTGATATCTTTGGGATCTGTTGCTAGAGATTTATCTTTTTGGGGGTGTTGTATTGCCTTACTTTTTAATATTGACTGTGTTCCTATGTTGAGATTTGCCCATCTAGTGGGTCAAATAGCTCTACCATATTTCTGGAATGGCCTTAATAAGCAGCTTTTTCCTGAATATGTGTCTAGTTGTATTTTGTTATGCAATGTTAGCTTTATTTCCAGCTGGGTACTATAGTGTAGGCTCCCTTTAGCTTCTTTAGTGAGTGATTATGGTGTGTACCTTGTCAGAGTTGGAGAGATCCACTGTCTTCTGTGGGCCATGCAAGAGTAAGGACACTCTAGTAGTTCAGGTAGGTATAGTGTAGACAACAGAGTGTGTGAAGTGCACACTGCATGACTGCTTGGCTATTCAGTGAGTGTGGTAGCCCCTGTCAGGAACCCTAAGGAGTTTCTTTTGGTAGCTTTTTGTTTTTGTTTTTTGTAACAGTCCTGGAGTTTGAACTCATGCTTGCTAGGTAGGTGTTTTACCACATGAGCCACTCCACCAACCCTTTTTAGTGCTGGGTATTTTCAAGATAGGGTCTCTCTCATGAACTGTTTGCCCTGGCTGGCTTCAAACCATGATCTTCCTGATCTCTGCCTCCTGAGTAGATAGGATTACAGTTGTAAGCCATCACTGCCTGACTATGTACTGTTTCTTCTGCTTTTCTCCCCCCACAGTATTGGTGAACTCAGGGCCTTGTGATTGCTAGGTAGGCGTTCTACCATTCAGTCACTCCCCCAATCCTTTTTGTTTTGGTAAGTTTGAAGATAAGGTCTCATGTTTTGCTGGGCCAGCTTTCTCCTACCTATGCCTTCTGTGTACCTGGGATTAGAGTCATATGTCACCATGCCCTCCTTACTCTTTGAGATGGGGTTTCACTAACTGGTAGATCATCTCCTATCTCAATCTCACTTGTAGCTGAAATTACAGGTATAAGCCACCACACCTGGCCCCTAAAGCACTATTGATGTGAATAGTAAA